TGGCTGGTTAATAATCTGCCATCAGCATCGGGCAAAAAAATCTTTATTGGTGCACCCTTATGTTTAATGCATCTTTCCTTCCACCAGCCAGGAGTATTGTAGATACCTTTTATCCCAGGACAAAGTGCAGTTCAGATACCTATGTCTGTCTCAGGACAAACCTTAAAAAGATTGACAGGATTAGAAGTGCTAACAGTCCTGTGATTAAATGTGAAATCTGTTCTTAGCCTTAGTGCAAGCTAGTAAGTCGGTGGTGGGCATCTTTTTTTTGGTTGGAGGGCCACATGAGTTTTGATGTCTTCTTGACAGCCCCTTCCCCTCCTCCTCCCCCACAAACCTAACCTGGAGATGTAGCACACCCTGATCCTACCTAGAACGTGTTGGCTCCATCCACAGCATAGACAACAGGCAAGTGCTGACAGTGGGAGGTGGGGGGGGCACAACTCTGCTTCGCTACCATTGCCCCTATTGCTGTTAGGTGTTGGGTTCAGGGCTTTGCTGCAGCCTCACACCCCAGAATAGGTGCAGAAATCGGGGTGGGGGGGCATGTGCTTGTGTCCCTGCCATGTGTAACCTATGGTCCGCAGCTTACACCTCCCCAACCCCCACCCCTGTGTGGCAGAAGAAGCCCTGAGTGGGTGCCAGCATCTGTTGTGGATCCTGCTGGGCATGTCTAGGTAAAGATTAGGGCATTTGCCTGGGTCCACAGCTTCTGCTACTGCATCAGCACTGGGCAGAAGCAGTTTGGGCTGCCTGCCCATCACAGCTGAAACAGCCCCATCCATTCATCCATACAGCCGTACTTTGCCCACCCCGGCAATAGTCCATACTGGGGACAGAGTTACCCTGCAGTCTTGGTCCTTACTTGGTTCACCCCACATCTAGTCCCCAGTTGTAGTCCAGCACTAACTAAAACTGAATCCAGACAAGATAGTGGTCTTAGTGGTTGGCAGACTTCATGATGGGGGGAGGCGGGGAGGGAGATAGGGACACCTGCATTGTTGGATTTTGATTGGGTGCATCAGTAATTCAGCTAAAACTCTATTATTAAATGCAAAGGTCAAGAGCAGTTAAACATTTTTTACATAAAAGTTCAAAAAATAATACTATAAGAAAATGCCAGTTAGATAATCATAGAGAAGTAGGGCTTGAAGGGACCTCCAGAGGTCATCTAGTCCAACCTCTAGCCTGAGGCGTGAACATCCCTATCCAAACCATCCTTATAAAACCTATAATCTAAATTCTACGTAAGACTGCTGTCAGCCCTGCAATATAGACCTAGCACCCTAACCTGCCACAGGTAAAGCAGGGGAACCATAGGAGCCAACTTTTCTGCTTCTGTGAAATGTTTTTAATATATGCTCAAGAGATCTTGGTCATGCCCCCTGCTACAGAGGAAGGCAAAAACACCCATGGACCTTACCAATCTGAGGTAAAGGAAGAGTAAAATTCCTTCATAACCCCAAACATGGTGATCAGTTTTACCCTGAGCAGAGCAAGGCTCTAGCCAGGTACTTCTGGCTAGGGTCCCAGCAAGAGCACTGGCACACTCCAGTCAAAGTCCCCAGCGAATGCCTCTGAGTGCAGCTTAAAAACACTGAGACACATTTAGCAGAACCTGGGGGTGGGAAAGCCCAGAAGCATGGGAAATACCCTTAGTAGAATGTAGGCTTAGATCATCCCTGACCAGTGGCTGTCCAGCCTCTTTTTGACTACCTCAAGTGATGGAGAGTCCACAACTTCCCTAAGCAGTCTGTTCCGCTACCTCTAACTGTTCTAACAGTGAACTTTTTTTTTTTTCCTGGATATCCAACCTAAATCTACTTTGTTGCAGCTTCAAGCCATTGGTCCACAGCAAGAGAAAAGATTTTTCTCTCTTCTTTATGGCAGTCTTTCAAGTATTTGAACACTGCTATCATGTTTCCTTTTAATCACCTTTTCCACTAGTTGAACGTGCCTATCTCCTTCAGCCTCTCCTCATTTGACTTGCCCTCCAAGCCCTTGATCATTATTTTTGCCTGCTTCTGGACCCTGTCTAACTTCTCCACATCCGTTTTAAAATCTGGAGCCCAGAACTGCATGCAGTACTCCAGATGAGGCCTATCCAGTGCCTAGTAGAGAGGCACTATAGGTATTGCAACATTGCTGTCTAATAATGACCACATGTGCACCATTACAGTTGCAAGCATTTGATCAGAATATTTACAGCTGGGTTAGTGAGGGAAATTCTAGCTGTTCCATGCTGACTAGTTCCATCAGGTCAGCTCACACTAACAGATTTTTTCTTTCCTGCTTTTCTTTATGCCCCCTGAATTTCCTGTTGCATCATCTTTTGAGTTCTAAAAACTTGTCAGATCTAGTCTGAACTTCCATATCTACTTGTCATTCCCAGTACACACAACTTTCCTTCTCTCTCTCTCTCTCTCTCTCTCTCTCTCTCTCTCTCTCTCTCTCTCTCTCTCTCTCTCTGTTTTTGGTGGGTTGCCTCCTAGACTTCCAGGAGCTAATCTTGACACTGCCTACTCTGCCCCTCCCCCTGGTCTGCCAGTCTCCTTGCTGTTGTTCACTTATCTTTTTCTCCTATATTAGCATATCTGTGGCTTGTTGCACTTAATCCTGTCCACATTATCATTTTTTGTCTTTCTACTTAAACTTTGGTTTCATGAACGGTTGTTATGCTTGTACCTGAAGATAAAACATTCCATTGCCTATTGCATAATAACAGTACATTTCATAATTCCTATACCTATCACTCGAGTGCAATCTCCTCGTGTCACTCAGATTTGCAGCCTTGGTTCTCCTGGATCCTTTGCTGTACCTTTATTTTCATGTTGTGGTGACAAGTAAGAATGCCTTTCACCAACTGCATGGGTGATAAGCATGCAACCTTTCTCAGGTTCACATCTGGCAATCATTGTAAGTATATTTGTAACCTCAAACAGGACAGACTACTACAGTGCGCTCTGTGTAAAGCAGCCCTTGACATCTGGAAGTTGCAGCTGATGCAGAACGTGGCATTCTGCCTTCTCACAGGATAGGTCACCAGAAGCACATTACTCTATTGTTTGTGGGTCTGTACTGACTTTTGTAGCTTTCCAGGTGCAATCAACATACTGGTTTTGACCTGTAAGGCCCAAAACCTAAGCCTTTTTTGGAAAAGGTGGCATATAAATCTAATAAATAAATAAACAAACCATCTGGCCTACACATACTTAAGAGAGAACCTTCTCCTTATGTTCCATTATGATCCCTAAAGTCAGTAGCTTCTGCAAATACCATCTATGCTTCAAGTTCATTTTGTAAATGCTTGGGAGGTCATTCTGAGGAGTTGCTATTCAGCTCTGGAACTCTGCCTTGAGGCTCTTCAGAGCCTGAATCTGGACATCTTAAGGAAGCATTGTAATATATTCTTATTTGAGTGTTTGCAGGCTGGTTTAAGTTATGGGCATTATTGGAGAAGTTTCTGTTGCATAATATTTTTATCTGGATTTTATTATATACCACTCTGAGCCTATTTTGGAGAGGGTAGCGTATACATCTAATAAATAACAGTAACATTGTTTTGCTACTTCTGGTTGGTGAGGGGGAGTGGGCTCAGTATTTGTTAGTTATGTGCTGTCAGGGCCCTGTACTGGGAGGAACTCTAGATATATTTTAAATGTCACAGTACTGTTTCTAATTCCTTAAAGGTCTTTTTATGAACTAAGGATTGCATGGTCTTAGGTGGGGAGGAAAATCTAAAATTAAAACTACTTTATATCTCTCTTATTGTACCTCACAAATGTGCCTTTAGGTACTACGCTATGAAGAAATTCAGTGGTGTTTAGGATTGTTACTGATTTCAAGTACCAGTTAATTTTGTTTTTGTTGAATAGTGTATACAGACCTAAGTACTGTGTTGGGAAGGGGTAGGAAGTGGCTAAAACTTACATGATTGATAGGGTCTCTAGCACAAGGAAGGGTCTAGATTGGAAGCTCAGTC